AGGATCATCATAAGACAAATCCAAATCATAAGACTTTGTTATACATACACCAGTAAGTACAAAGAATCTTTTTCCAAAACAAATCATGAAACTGATTCTATTTTACTGAGCATCTGAGGGTAAAAACTTAAAAAAATTACCCAGTTTGAAAAATGCATACGGCCTGCTCTATCCACACAAACAAGCAAATCCAAACCTATCCATAAAGCGCTATTAAGTACATACCAACTGTTTTGCTCCCTTCGTTTATTGTTTAGTCTAGAAATGTTTTGTCTAGAAATTTATCTTAGCTTTAATGACAGTAAATGCAAGAATTATGTTATAGATTAACAACATGATTTAAACTCATATTCTATGTTGAATACAATAATATACAACAATGTACAAAAAGTAAATCATTCTTTGTACATCTGTTTATAGAAAAAAATTCTGCAAACATTTTTTGTAATTTTCTACGTTGTTAGTATATTGCTCTTGTAATGTTCAGGTAATTTCACACAAGAGGATGGTTTCAGATTCCAGATTATAAAACGCCAAAATACTGATAAAACTTAATATTTACCAATTTTGATGGGAAATGTCCAAAATAATCCCTCACAAGATATTCACATGACTAAATTCCCACATACATTCTCCCAATAGTCTTCTTTGGTGGAAACTTCCACTTGACATAAGTACCATTTAAACATTTAGCATTCAGTTTGACAGACGTATAAATCCCTGGTTAGTTATAAAGATTATGTATACCCCAAGCGACTATTCATGTTATAAACTGACTACTGCAGACTTCCCGAGTGTTCCCCTAACAACACTTACAATACTTACAAAAACATTCATCCTGGTACTGACCAGTGCTCACGTATTCCGGGTTGATTGTCGTAAACAGTCTGGGGTTGTTTTGCTCCGATTGCTTGCGGTAGTACAAGATCCCAGCGGCCGCAAAGGCCGACAGCAGCCCCAGACAAAGGATGAAGGCGATGAAAAGTTGAGTGTTGTAAGCATTTCTCCGCTCCTGCATGAAAAATTAAATTAATGAGACACCCTTCAAGGCCTATTCAATCATTATTTTTACAACCCACCTAGATTATTTGGAGGTTTTTGGCCATTGGCATTTTTTTTAGGTTTTCTTGTATGGAAATTGTTAAAACAAACTTGTTACTGCTTGATCTAGTCTGTTTTAATTTTAAATCTAAACCATTGGAATTTCGAATGGAACAATTACAAAGGCTTCAATAAAAAGCAATCCAAACCCCTTGAACATTTTTATGCCAGGGATCAAATCAGTCCCCCTCACACTGAAGTTGGAGACGCTATCATACAATTTTTAATGTATACCTATCACAATGTCATCATCAATATAACCCCTCCTCCCCCACCCAAAAAAAAAAAAAAAAAAAAAACTTTTGGGGTGTGTTGCTAGACTGAAGGTTAGCGTCTCTAACTTCAGTGTGAGAGGGACTGATTTGATCCCTGGCATAAAAATGTTCAAGGGGTTTGGATTGCATTTTATTGAAGCCTTTGTAATTTTTAAATTCAAAATTCCATTGGTTTAGATTTAAAATTAATAAAACAGACTAGGTCAAGCAGTAACAAGTTTGTTTTAACAATTTCCATACAAGAAAACCCAAAAAATGCCAATGGCCGAAAACCTCCAGCTTTAGTAACCACTAAAAGAGAAGAAATTTATGAATCGCAGCACCACTGCATCGTTGCTATCTCAAGGCACACACACTCATTCCTTTACATAACACCCAGCAGTAATGATAAACTAGGCCGTTGGATACAACAAGCAAACTTGCTTAGCTCCCAGGAACTTTCCAAATACCACATCAACATTGAGAAAATCGCAGAACCACCCCTCCCAAAGTATAAAATCACACTACAAACTAACAAAAACCAAAGTTGCACACAAGAACCCCTAAACACTCCCACCTCCCAACATCATTTTTTAGAAGAACACCCTCATCCCAGAGAAAAGCACAAAACCCAGCTCAAAGATGTAACACATCCCCTCCGACACTCCGTACAGTAAAATTCCAAACACCTAATAGCCAACAAGGACTTAAAATTCTACACCAAAACATAAATTGGTTATCTAAAAAAACTGATAGACTAGCACACTTCCTCCAAGATGAAGACCCGGACCTGATCATAATAACAGAGCACGGCGTAGCACAACAAAACTTGCAAAACACGTGGGTAGAAAATTACTCACTTATTGGAGGCTTCTCAAGGAAATCCCATGTCAAAGGAGGAGTGGTCGCTTATGTAAGAAGTGGCTGGGAAAAGCATGTATCACTCATATGCACAAGTAGCGAGGAAACAGAACTAATTTGCGAAACTGTGCTCTTTGAACTGAAGCTAAACAGGAATCCACTGCTGGCAAGAATCGGCTAGACTTAAAAATTAATATATAAAGGCCTTAGAAAAGGAGCAAACCACCGGACTTATGGAAGACAAAGCCAGAACAACTATTAAAAAAAGGGAGTACGACCAGCATTTGAAAATGCTTCGGAAAGAAAACAACACAGCTCACATAAACCAGGCTGAAAACAAGTCTAAAGCACTGTGGCAAACAATAAACCGAGAAAGGGAAGCGAGATCAAATACTGAAAACCAAATCCATCTTCAAGTCAACAATAAAACAATAGACGACCCAATAGAAGTTTCAAACTGTTTTAATGATTTTTTCTCATCAATAGCCGACCGAACACTCCAAAATAACAATAACTCTAGAACCAATGCCTTAACAGACCACTTACCAGCAACACATCACACACTCCAGTTCAGACGGGTCACACAAGAAGAAGTGCAAAAGGCCATTTAATCTCTAAAGATGAAAAATTCATCCGGAACTGATGAGGTATCAGCTAAACTTCTAAAAAACTGTAAAAATGAAATAGTAATACCCCTGACAGACCTCATAAATAAATCACTCTCACAAGGAAAATTCCCAGATGAATTAAAAATAGCTAAAGTCTACCCAAAATACAAAATGGACCAACGATAGAAAGAAACAGCTACAGGCCAATCTCCCTAATATCAACATTTTCAAAAATAATCGAAAAGATAGTACTAGCCCAACTCCTACACCATCTTCAAGAACACAACCTTCTCAATAGTCAACAGCATGGATTTATCAAAGGCAGATCGACAGCCACAGCCTTAATACAACTGACGGAGCACATACTAGACCAACTAGAAGAAGGCAGCACTTCAACAAGCCTCTTCCTAGATTTTAGTAAAGCTTTCGACTGCCTAAACCACAAACTTCTTCTACTCAAGCTGGAAACACTAGGCGTGAGAGGAAGAGCAGCAGAATGGTTTAAAAGCTACATTAGTAACCGGAAACAGCTTGTGGAAATAGCCTACATAAAGAACAACACAAAGTATAAGGCCCAATCCAAAGCTGTAGACGTGCAAAGAGGAGTACCCCAAGGATCAGTACTTGGCCCAGTCCTTTTCCTCCTTCTCACGAATGACCTACCTAGTTGGATTGGGGAAGATGGACACACCACCATGTACGCAGATGACACGGTTCTCACATTTGCGGACAAAACAATGGAAAATCTGGAAGAGAAAACCAACACACAACTCCAGAGAACAAAGCAATACTGTACCTCCAACGACCTAGTTCTAAACGAAAGCAAAACCGTTCAAATGACTTTCACCACCAAACGCAACAACACAGACATTACAATACCGGGACTACAAACACAAAATACCTAGGCATCATAATTGACTCCAAGCTATCATGGAAACCATGATAGACCAGCTCTGCAAAAAGCTAAGTTCAAGTCTCTACGTTATACGTAGGATGAAGCAAGCTTGCAGCCCAGAAGTAGCCAAAGTTGCATATTTTGCTCTATTCGAGTCCCACCTCACCTCAGATATGGCATTGCGACATGGGGTGGAACATTAAAAGGCAACCTGGAAAGAGTACTCCTAAAGCAAAAAAGAGCAATTAGATGCCTTGCCGACCTGAACTACAGAGACAGTTGCCGAGAAGCCTTCAAGAACCTTAAAATTCTCACATCAATTTCACTCTACATAAGAGAAGTCATTATCCACACCACTAAAACAGCCCAGCCAAGACACAAAGACATACACCAGCACAACACACGACATGCCGCCAATTTTTCCCTCCCACAACACCATCTGAGTCTGTACGAGAAGAAACCATCCTACAAAGGTGCTCTGTACTTTAACAACCTACCAGAGCACCTCAAGAGAGAACAACCCAATCTGCTCAAGAAGCACCTGACAACATGGCTTATGGACCGGCCGTTCTACTCTGAGGATGAATTCTTAAACAATAAGCTACCATGAAAAAAAGAAGAAAAAGAAGAAAAAAATTCTAATTGTGATTGCAAATTACTGTAATAGTTTATGTACATACTGTACATTTTATGTACCTGACGCATGAATGTTCTCTAGGAATATTTCAATAAAGATTTTGTCTATTGTCTATTGTCTATTGTCTATTGTCTAAAGCTATTATGCTTTTCTATTGGTAATTTTGTCAGGCCTTAAAACCGAACACAGTTAATAAAAATACAGATTGTTTTTTTTAGTGCAGATTTTGGTACCAGTGTATTTTTACTCATTGCTAGTGTTTTTTATTAAAAAAAATTTGCTACAAACACTGTTAATTGATTTTATTTGTCGTTATTACTATCTGCATTGAATGTTTATTCAATATTTTTTTAACAACTCCCATTTTGCATGGGAAGAGGAAAAATCTCGTCACAAACTATGAGTACAATCTCCTCCAGCTCCATATTTTGTCATCAGCGATTCCATACCTTGATGTCAAAGTAGGCACTCTCTGTGTAGTTGCCGTTGCCAGCCAGTGAGGTAGCTCTCACTTTGACACTGTAGTTGCCAGGGCCGAGGTTCTTGAGGATGTAGGACTTGCTCATGTTGTGGAACTGTAACCTTGTGATACACTCCACTGTAGGCTTGTACTGTCAACATCAACATATTAACGTAGATAAAACACACTCACTTAATAGATTTCTCATCCTTATGGAACAGCTGATGCCAATTTAATTGTTAGTTCTGTACACTAGAGGTCGTGTATTGTTTAAAATTTGTTTCTTGTTATATCAGTCATTTATAACCTCGTTCAACCAAAAAAACGATCTAATCATAAACAATAACTGGTCTCCTAGTTATATAACCAAACAGTTAAGTACAAGATTTTACCTGACCCGACATTCCAACAATATACAGGGGATTATGTACAATATTATCCACAATATTACAATATTATTACAATATTATTGTTATTTTACAATATTATCCATTTCACTCATCTTCTAACAATAACGTTCTTTTACAATCAAAAGCTAGGTTAGGAAAATACTTTAAAGCATAACAATAACATTCAAGTGCACAGCTGATTTCTAGCATTGAACGTCCTTTGCTCCATCGAGGTATATTATATTTTATTAAGTTGAGCACTCAATGTTATTTGAATGGGTTTCATTACTTCACCAAGAGAGTTTTTGAAACTTTAATTCACTGAGTGAAGTAAAGAAGTTGTTTACAACACGCTTGGGATAGGGAAGTTTAACATGGCGGGTTGGATAAAAGAGTAAAACATATTGCCGCAAACCCAAACTCAAACGGACAACCGAGTCCAAAATGACAGCTGTTCAAAGATTCATTGAATTCAAAGTGCTATTATACGCTACCTCAGGGGTGCCCGCTAGAATTCAGAAAAAAATCATATACTTAAGCATAGGTTAATATGCACAGCAAATTAAAGGTCTTTATTAGTAGAATACAATGAAACAAATTTGAGCTCAAAAGAACTACGGAGTAAAAAATGGCAGCCAATCAAAGATTCAAAATGGCAGATTCAAGAAATATTTTAACGGCAGCCATTTTTTACTCCGCTGCCCGCTTGAGTTCAGATTTGCGGCAATCTGTTCTACTAACTAAGAGCTTCAAATTGATACCAAACATGACCTAAGCTGCTATTTAAGAATTTTGTCTGACACCTCGTGGGCTGTCCCCCTTAAGGGATAAAAAAGTAATAATAACTTAAAAGAGTACACATTTATGACTCTTTATTTAATATATTTGAATCATAACAAATATATTAAACCGTTCCAGGACTTTACAATTACACTGTATAGACTATCGACCTAATTAGACAACAGTACGTTGGGATTTAATTATACATCAAAATCTGTTTGAAGTTAAGGATGTAACATAGAGCATAAGGTCTAGGTTTTTAGGATTTTTTCTGAGGATAGCAGGCTTACCAGAATGGGAAAGAGGTCTGGAATGTACTGCCCAACATTAGGAGGCCTAAATACAAATTTCTCATTCTTAGTTTAAAATGCTGCTAATATTTTGTGAACAGTGTAAAGATTTGTGTTTCTTATGGCGGATTGGGCTCTTTTCCTCGGGCTGCCTCCTGGAGTAAGGCTGTTTTCTTCACAAAACGCACTAAATATATTAAAATCAGTTTATAAGGGTTGACTTTGACTAATGCTTACATTCTCTATGTCAATGCGGCGATACTCTATCTGGTAAGTGACGATGAGGCCGTTAGGGTTTGGAGGTTCGTCCCACTTGAGCAGCACGTCGCCCGTGTGGTTGCTCTCTTCCAATACTATCACCGTGAGTTGCTTCACATTGTCCGCCGTACCTGTTCACAACAAAAGATTAGTCTTATTTTATTTTATTTAGTCTGATTGGAACAATGATAATTAAGTTCTAGAGTGTTGTTTTCAAAACCTTTTATGCCTTTTTGCAATTGATAGTACAGAGTTGTAAAGATATTGTGTTATTGTCAATTTACTGAACATCAACACAATCATAACAAAACAAACCTTTGACCTAATTTGTGAACTAGGTACTTACTTACTGCTGTGGCCACTGGTACCCTAAATGGTATTTGGCCTCCCCAAACACATTGCCTGCATACATGTCTGCATCTTGCGTCCTCCTTCCTTCTTCCCAGTTTTCTTAAGTCCTTTTCTACTTTGTCTCACCATCTCAGTTTGGGTCTATCAAGGGGCCTTCTTCATTCTGGGTTGTTCTGCAGTACTTTCTTTGGCAAAGGGTTGTCTTCTTTTCTTGTGATATGTCCTGCCCATCTCATCCTTCTAATCCGTACCTCAGCGACAATATCCAGATCTTTAAATAATTCTCTCAGTTCACAATTATGCTTTCATCTCCATTGTCCATCTTCAATTAGTTGGCCCATAAACTTTTCTCAATATTTTGTTCTCAAATACTATAATTTTCTTTTCCGTTTTTTGTAGTTAAAGTCTTTGTACAAGATTTTACTTAAAATCTAAAAAATTTACTAGTAGCATTTGCGGAACTTGGGCATTTAAAAAGAAATGTAATAGCCAACTACTTGGTAGATAGGTGGGTAGCTGAGTGGTTATAGTGCTCACCTACTAACGAAAAGGATGCTTGTTAAATATTAAGAAAAGGCAAGCTTTTTTTGACCCCTTGAAACTAGTGCCAGCTTTCATTGAGCTTTTAATAAATAGTCCTGGCTAAAGAATCACCTATCTTAGTAAGTAACAAAGCTATAATCTCATTTATTAAAGGCTCTTCCTTCACTCATCTTCACCTTAAAGTACACATATTTATGAATCAGCATCATTCAAATCCTAATCTAATCTTGAAAAGACATACAGTACCGGTAATACACTTTAGAACAATACTGAGGTGACACAGCAGTTTTATTCTAACTGGCAACCACAGCAAAAAGCTACCAATGAGATTTCACCACCTATGACAAGTAAATCAGTGACTCACTTAAAGGCTGCGTCCTGGCTGACAGTATGGCCTGTGCGCTGCAGTTGTTATTCTTCCTGCTGTTCTTCTCATCCTCTGTCAGTTCTCTACAGGCAGTCACTGATATCGTGTAGTGAGCAAAGTGGCGGAGATTACGCACAACCAGCATGTGAGAGTTACCAACCACGTACTCAAAGTTCTCCTGAGAATCTGTGGGTGAAAATTGAAATGTTTGAGGAGTTGATATTCTACTGCATTGTGGGCAAAACTTAGAATGTAGGATGTAGGATGTAGATGTAGGAAATTGATATTTGTGCACAAGCGGACACTTTAATACACAAATCAAACACATACAAATATTTTAAAATTTATTTTTCTATGTAGGATTAATCAACTTGTACGCTTCACTGTGTTTTTAATTTTTTTTTTTTTTATTATTATTGAATCTCCTGCTGTGTGTGCGAGATAAGGTCAGTAATACGTTTTTGACCACAAGAAACATATTCGATGCTGACATTCATCGCTAGATGGCTGAAGTTTATGACACATTATTGCAATGATGGGGGGAAAGTGCATAAAGAGGCTAGGGAGTTTAAAAATGGCCATGAAAATGTTCATTTCGGAAGGAATTATGTTTTTGGTGGGTAGCCACACTTTTCACAGAAGATCACAAAGAAAACAGGTTGTCACAGCCATTTTCACACTCTATAACATTCAAATAAATTTTTTCAGCATCCGACATAAAGATATCTTTTTTTGAACTCAAACCTTCCCAGGTTGAAAATTTTGCTGGTGAGGGTAGAATATTCCGATTTTTCTGTAAAATGTAAACTTTTTGTGCTCAACTCTGCCCTATTCCAGTAAGCCTGCTACCTTAAGAAAAATCTTTATAACCTATACATTTGCTCTGTTTTACATTTTTAGAAATTATACAAGTTTACAACAGTGACTAATGGTTACAATATATTTACCGGGAGGGTTTTTGTTCTTGGAATCTCCCAGAAGCGTCAAACCTCCCTTGTTCGGGCTGGGAAACTCATTGTTGCCTTTTTCGTCTCGAAATTGAATCTCCCTCTTCTCTCTTTGAGGCCTGCACAAGGATGATTCATTTTAACATTGAACATCACCTAGAGACATGTTTGACTAACAAAACTACAAAGATGGATAGTATGTCTTTGTAAAGTCAAGTGTGAGTGGCCTAATAAAGTGCAGGACTTATATTCTTGAGACTTGTATAGAATCTCGTCCATCACCAATGGTTATAAGGTAATGAAGGATCCATGTGTTAATCAGACACATTTTTGATGTCAGTCCACCTATCTAGAAAACAAAGCAATATGTCTCAAGGAATATTCCCTTTGTTTTGGAAATTCCCAAAACAAAATCCATATGTATATAAAAATTAAAATTTGTACCTCTGAATAGTTTTAAAGATGCAATATCAAAATTACATCCAAAACTAATCCATGCATTGACACAAAAATTCCCTAAATTCTATTAAAACTTTCCAAGGATTTTGATTATACCATAACACAATTTGTGTATATTTTTCAACTTTTATTCCATTTATTTATTAAGGTTAACAATTTAGTAAAAATTATTCATGCAGCATAAATTAACAAGTTATGACAAGATTAACATCACAGAAAAAGCAGCCTCGCAAAACAGCCAACTGATACCATTGAATGAAAATGAAATGGAAAATTATAAATGGTTTTTATTAATGAGTTGGCTTTAAGATGGCTATGATAATTTTAACAGCTAGTTTAGTAAATATTTACTTTTCTTCATTTATATACTTTCACTAGTGGGCAAGTAATAAATTTACCGTACAAAAAAAAATTGAAATTAAATAATTGGTTGAATTTTAAAGTGTTTATGATTTTACACTGGTGTTAAGCGCCTAATAACTAAGACTAACAAATTTGATATCTCTCTACAACAAATTTTAAAAAATTATGAGAACTAAAGAATGGTTTATCATAGATTCGACCAAATATGCTACTCCCTTTAACCAGAGATATTTTCCAACATTACTATGGACTCTTTTATTTAAAACCTAACACAAATATAACATTACATTTTTTTTACTAATTTAAAAGTATAATAACGTAACACTCATTTCATTGCATCTATTAGGCCTACACGTTGTACGATTTATTTTCCTAAGTTTCAATGTTAATTTACAACACGGTCTGTTAGTTATTATCTTTGACGAAGCAAAGGAATTTGCATGCATTTTGAACAAGATTAAACATAGAGGTTTTGGAGTCCCAAAATTGTTGCATAAAAAAAGACATCACAAGATACTGATTTTGATGATTGTTGTGAAAGGACATCAAGATGTCAATGTTTACGACACAAATGAATGGATGGATTCTGACATGAGACCCAAGCAAGATCAGCATAAAGCTCATTTTGCCCATTTTTTACCTCTCTTGTGATTCAGAGTTGAGTTTCTCGGGGACATTTTTTCTGAAGAAAAAGAAAACAAAATTTCAAAGTCTTCTCAAAGCTTGGTGATAAAAACTTAGTAAATCAGAAGGTAAGGTATTACAAGTATGATGCCCGTTAATTTTAAAACACTCAAGCTTTGCCTATATTAAATCGTAATTTTAATAGTGCAAGGCAGCCAAACATTTTGGTTTGGCGACCCACCACCACTTTGGAATTTTTTGGTAACTCTCCTATAAAATAATATTAGGCTATCATGCTCACAGAGAAACATACACCTTATAAAAATTGTGAGGATGGTGGTATTGAAAGTACAACATCCACTCCAGAACAATATTTTTTGAGAAACTTTAATTTATTTAGAACCAAAGTTTAGGCTTACTATTTACAAGAGACTTTATGTGGATTGAAAGCTGACAACTACTGTATGTGTTGGGCATTGTCCACGCATATCCTCTCACACAAATACGTTTCTATGACCCAATTAAGTTAAATTAAGCCTTCCCGTTGATTTTAATAAAAAAATTATGTTTTAAATATCCAGGGGTATAAAAGTATGTTTTATATGTTTAGAATGTTGTTTAATATACCGTCTATCATAAATCCATCCTATCTGGATTCCGTAGTCGCGGCACTAACCCGATGATCTCTAACAATCACAAACGCTCACTTGTAATCATCTCCCTCGTACACGATAATATCATGATCATCTCTACGACTTGAAGGTTGGTCCAAAAACAAATGGGCTTGGTTGGCCCTTTGTCTATTGAAGCAGTTTTGTAAATTATAGGTTACAAAAGCTTTTCAGATATTTTTCTGATCACAATATCAGAGTGTTATTCACACCCAAAAAATCCCAATAAATTATTAAAATCCACATATAAAATTTGGAATGAAATATTCCTAAAAATCGGTGTTTGAAATTCCTAGTTTTAAGCTAAAAGACACATCAATCACGTTTAACAGTGAATATTCTAATGTACAGCCCTTGTTACCCACTCGGTACTATTCTAGTGCTCACTAGACCATTCTACTAATTAAAAATTACCAGTACCGGTTAAAAAAACCAAACGTTTGTAATGTTTGGTCTCCTCCTGCGATACACCAGTGAGTCGGGGTTGTTTGAAGTTTGTAAATTTTATTTTTTTAAACTACCTTTCCACCTACTTTAAAATTACAAATTTAGAGCGGAATGGCAAATCAATTAGGTATAGCAATGTATTTAACGCACAAAAATGAGATCAATTTTAGTGATTAATTTTAAACTCTGATTCAAAATGTGATTTTTCCAACCTTTTGACGTAGACTTGGTTGTGTAAAGCGTCTTCAAAGTGGATCTGGAATTGTATTTCCTTCTCTTTCTGTTTCTTTTCCTTCTCTTCTTTGTCATCTTTCTTACACGCACATTCCTTCTCCTTGGCGTACTTGCTGAGACTTACGTCTCCGTCATCTCCATACTTGTCTACATCTCCATCTTCTACCTTTGTTGTTGAAGGTTTGCTGCTCTTGTCGGATAAGGCGAGTGCTGCTACAAAAAAGAAACTATTGATTACATTCCTCTAGCCTAACCTAAAGGTCAAACTATTGAGGAAAGTACACTAATGATTATATGAATGGTAAACATAAAGTTTCAGGTTTTACTCTTTCAATATGGCGGATTCTTGAAAACTGCTATCAGATTTTGATATTTAATTTTGGAATTTACAAAACTACTTCAAAAGTTGAAAGCAAGAAACTAACAATTAAGTACACCTATTTAATAGTTTGGAAAGTTAGTCAAGATTCTAACCATTTAGAAGTTATTAATTAGTCCCGTAAAAAGTAACTGATAGAAGTTATAAGTTAGTGAGTTAAAAAAGTAACTGAGGGGTTATTAGTTGGTTTAAAAACTAACTGATCTTATACTAACTTAAAGACTAGATCTTCTTTGTATTACAAGTGTCATTGTGATCAAATACGTTAGTTATTCATTGTGATTTCTGTCAAACATAACATTTGACGTATGTATCCAGGAAGCCTCAACCCTACTCTATCCCAGTTGATCAGGAGTTGAGTATCACAGGTTAAGGTTACTACCACAGAATAAAATACTTTACCCTTGTCAAAGAATGAAAAACTTTGTCAACAAGAGCGCTGACCCTTACCGATCGCGTAATAAACTCGTATTTGAGGTACTGTACTTACTCTTGCAAAAAATCTAACTATTTAAACTCCAAAACTACTAACGAGTATAATATCTTTTTGTTAGCTAGAATCTAACTAAGCAAAAGTTTCTTCTTTTTTTTACTAACGAATATGATAGAAGTTACCCGAAAAACTAACAAATATCGCTAATTGTTAGAATTTCTATTCGTTATTCCCAAGTATGGTACCTAATTGGAATTTTTGTCCAACTCTTTTCATCTATACTTCAGAAAATCTCCCAGGGGTTGAAATAGTGTGTTTTCTGTGTATAGACCTACTTATGTCCTACCTGGACCTTTTCTAATGTAAGCTAGCTGATATCTCTTCTCTAAAAAATACATATCAGAACTCGAATCGAGTTTTAAGCTGTAACTTAAAAAAAAAAATAGATCTTAGTCCATTTCAGAATCTGACTGAATCTAAACATGTGTAATTTTGAAAAGGAAAGTAAACTGAAATTTGATGCACAAATAGTCGATCCTACATTGTTGTAAAGGTGAGTTTTTACCGTCTTGTATTTGCACTAAACTCAATTTGAAACAATACTAAAAATATAATGCTAAGGTGAAGTGGTGTTTCAGTCATATTGATCAATATTATTCCACAGTTATTACTCCAACAAAGAATACAGAGAACATTTCAACTAGGAGCTGTCTTCAAAATAGGCTAACTCACGCAGTGAGAAGTGTTTACAGTGCTTGATTTCAAATATGAAGATTGCTGGTTCAAATCTGGACGCAGTTGCCGTTTGTAATTGGGTTATCAACAAATTATGCTATATAAATAAAGGTTTAGATTTGATGGTAACAAGAGGCTCTGTAATATTCCCCTACAAAAACGTTAACAATTCAAACGATGTAGATAATTCTAAAATGTCTTAGTAACGGAGTGTTAACCAATGTTTGTTATACAAGTTACTCACGCTCATTGCAGTAGTTCCGTTGTTCCAGAAACTTCTGATCGTCATGTTCCCAAGTGCCTCGTACGATGTACTGAGTAACATTGCCGTTAGGTACTGCAGGGGGGTTCCAGTGAATGACCAGCTCCGATGAAGAGTTGGAGTAAGCCTTGAGAGCACGTGGTACTGTTGGAACTGTACAGAAAGGATTGTAAGTATTGAACCTTTGACTATTTATTTATAGAACTACGTCTCCATATTTTAGTTGTCACCGGTTTTAGAATCAAAATGGACATAACTTAGAACTTTGTTTACACCTCCATAACATAACAATCTCAAATTATAACAAGTGCATTTTCAAATCTACTTGAAAACACCCTAACACTTACAATTTAGTTTCAGGTACTAGAACAAGTCAAGACTTGAAACCCTCACTACACCATACTCCATAACACAACAATTAAACTATTTTTGGCTTCCAGCAAACTCTTATAAAAATTTATAAAACCCAAATCTCATCTTTTCAACAGGATGAAAAAGGAAATTTCATCTTTCTGGCATTGGTTGGGAAAGCTGCAACTTGTAAAACATGATTTTTTTGTTATAAAACACACTTGTTCTACAACTGGCTTAATATTTTTAAACATGCCCTAACTAATTACTATAATTAATTTATAAAACAAATTGTATAGTGTAATGTGGCTAAAGACTAACAAACAAAAATAGACTGTAATACACTGTTTCAGTGGCTCATTCAACTTCAGCTGATAGGTATGACATTGGAAATGCAGTGTTGCACAGAATGTTTGCAAAATCATAGACAATGACAATGTGTATTTTTTTTATAATATCAAGACACGGATCTACTAACTGTCAGGGAAGGTGCGGAAATACTGTATCTTGCTCTGGGCCCCGACTTTCTCAGTGGCGATTGTGTAGGTCTTGACGTAGAAGGCGTACTGGGTGTAAGGTTGTAGCTGGGTGAGAATGTGCTGCATCTCAGGTAGCTCGTGGTCGGGTGTGTCCTTGTCAGGTGGTTCGGGTGCCGACACATCGTCCACCCGCCATCTGCAAATATAGGTCACTCAAAGTCACTTTGCCTTCATCCTACTACTTTCCTAAAAGCTCTATAGGCCTACGTTTACATATATTAGCCCCTGAACCCTTATTTCTGTAGGTAGGCTAGCTGATTTCTAACTCTTTCAACAAAAAAGGTTTATTATAGTTTATCAAATCTTGGTGTTCAAGAAATGACTGCTTCCTTGAACTAGCAAAATTACTGGGGCGACTTTTCACATGTGTTTCGGGGTAGCGGATTTCTACCCCCGGATATTTACCCCCATGAAAAAACGCCTACGTCATTTTGACGTCACGAGGGGCGGGGCTTATACACGTTCGAGAAACAGCCCGCGACTGGAAATCTACCCCCGGACATCTACCCCCAGACATCTACCCCCGGACATCTACCCCCAGACATCTACCCCCGGACATCTACCCCCGGACATTTACCCCCGGACATCTACCCCCGGAAATTTACCCCCGGAAATCTACCCCCCGTGGTCAGCTCTGCCGTGTATCGGCCAATATTCATTATGTTGTATAATTGATTTTATAAATTGCTTTATAAATTGTTTTAACATTATCCATATTTATAATTCAATAAGTTGTAACAGTACTTTTCAACCCGACCTACTTCACAGATTTTTACGATTGAGGTGTCTTTTAAGAGCTTAAGATCTAGCGCAGCACAAAATGGTAATTAAAAGGATATTTCGATTATGGCTTCAAAAGGTTGACCCCTAAGCCTTTGATTTATTCCTAGAAGGTGCTTCCAATGGTTGACCAACTTTTACAAACACTATACAGTAACAGTTTAAAAGTGAAATGTGAGTAGTACTCATCAGATCAATTTTTAAGTCAGGTTGTGAAAACATGAATAGATCGTCTGCAACTGTAAACAGGAGATGAAAAAGCTATGAAAATAATATAATATTGCGCACTTTTCACATGGTCAAGTTACATCGTACTGAACCATTGTTTTTACACACATTTCTTAAAGGATAAAGTGAATAAACTGTGGTGAACTTCCGGTTTATTCAATGTAGGCCTAGTAGTAATAATTGTTTAGTAAACTAAAACTCATTTGTAAACTGTTAAATTGAGAAAGAGGATCAACAGTTTTCATCAATAAAAGTCAGGTGTATAATGGCAAATTTTCCATATCACCTAGTAGTAAAAAAAAAATAGTTTCTAAGATTTTAGATGCGTACTAAGAAAGGATTTTAAAGTATTTTCTCTTTAAGACTTAAAATAAAAAAATTATTCAAATTTAATTTTTGTATTTTGTATTATTTTGTATTATAATTATATTTTGTATCATATTTTGTATTATAAATATATTTTTTATATTTGTAATTTTTCATCAATAAAAGTTAGGTGTATAATGGCAAATTTTTCATATCACCTAGTAGTAAAAAATTTAGTTTCTAAGATTTTAGATGCGTACTAAGAAAGGATTTTAAAGTATTTTCTCTTAAAGACCTGAAATAAGACAATTATTCAAATTCAAAATAATGGCCACATTCAATTTTTTAAGCATAGCCTAATAAATCTTTTATATCTTATCTTTTAATACATATATACGCCTAAATACCCCCATTGCAGCACATTCGTATATTCAGGGAATCTATAAAGTCTTATTGGAAAATCCTGCCTTAAAACAAAACTTGTCAACTTATTTCCATAAATAAGTGTTCAAAAGATTCATTCATAAGAATACCATATAGGAAGTGAATATGCAGGTTTCCTGCCAGTAAAATGTTAAAATGAGGAATTTAATGTAATATACAGAACAGAATTAGGTGAAACCCGTCGACATTGACGGTTACTTTCAAGGCTTATGATAATTCATAATATGAATTACATATATTATAACTATGTTATATTATATGTTATATAATATATGTTATTATATGTTATTATATGTTATATGTTATATTATAACTGCGATAAATAGATTGAAGTAATACAAATTTTGAGCATTTAGCTCTTTAGCTTTTTTGATGAGTAATAAGTGTAAAAGCAATAATGACTATTGCGTTAGTTACAAAATATGGTTGATCATTCAATGAATAAAATAATTCCCATACCGTATGTCATAAGAGTTATAATTAACCGGTTTCTCTTCTTTTTGAAGAACCATTAAATAGTATTAAAATCGTATTGGTCAATCTTTTGTGATAAACACTTTCGATCCGCGCTTAGCATGCGCCGTTAGCTGTTACTGTATGTGAAAGTAACAATGGGGGGTTGAAAAGGACTGTTACAACTTATTGAATTATAAATATGGATAATGTTAAAACAGACATCGACATATCGCATGTTTACTACTGGATATAAGAAGGTAAAGCAATTTATAAAATCAATTATACAACATAATGGATATTGGCCGATACACGGCAGAGCTGACCACGAGGGGTAGATTTCCGGGGGTAGATTTCCGGGGGTTGATGTCCGGGGGTAGATGTCCGGGGGTAGATGTCCGGGGGTAGATGTCTGGGGGTAGATGGCCGGGGGTAGATTTCCGGGGGTAGATTTCCGGGGGTTAATGTCCGGGGGTAGATGTCCGGGGGTAGATGTCTGGGGGTAGATGGCCGGGGGTAGATTTCCAGTCGCGGGCTGTTTCTCAAACGTGTATAAGCCCCGCCCCTCGTGACGTCAAAATGACGTAGGCGTTTTTTCATGGGGGTAAATATCCGGGGGTAGAAATCCGGCGACCCTGTGTTTCACAGAGTGGTAGCAGTGGTTGAATTGTAATTAAAAATAAACGGGTTGAATTTTTGCTTGCCTAAAAGATGGATTGCTACAAATTCAACCGAAACGTTAAGCAGTATTATAATAAGTACAACGCAATCATCTGCAGACCAAGGTTTTACCATTCACTTTGACCGTTGAATTCAACTAGTTTATATAGTTGCATTTATTAAAAAAAAATGTCTACAACTGTCTGTTGGTAAAAAAAGGCCTTTTTTTTAATTTTCTTAAACAAAAGGTTAGAAATATCAATTTTATTGTCAAGTGATTCTGTCTTTTGTCAGGTGACAACTTGTTTAAAACTATAAAGGGAACTAATGCAAAGTCAGTAGAGGAAAAGCCTCGATGGTTGTCTAAAATAACAATATTTGTTAAAACATCAATATGAAATTAAATATAATCAATATAACCAAAACATCAATCCTAAAATTGGCCTGAACAATATTGTTTGATAAAGTTTTTTCAGGTTTGATAAAGTAACATAATTTAGAAAACACAATTTTTTAACTCTAAAACCACTGCTCCCCCAACAATCATACTGGTTAGCGAACTTGTTTGAAAAAATGTAGGTGTACATGTTTGTACTTTCATGAAAATCGGATAATTTTTAGTTCTAACGGACAAATATACATAAATACAAATCTGATTGGATGGTATTTTTGACATCTGAGGACATCAAAATGAAAAAGTAAATCGGTCCTCCAAGGGTCTTACTATGAGAGATGTAGTAATAGCTTATTCCCTATGGGAAATTTGCTAAAAGAATAAGAACATTGGTTCGTGGTTACCCGTCTCCTCCGCAGGCGTCTCGGCCGTCGTACATGGTGATGTTCTGATAAGGAGCCTCTATAGTGTACACGACATATCCAAGAAGTGTCCGACTGTCGTAGTGAGAGAACTGCTTCCACTTGATCAGAACTGCCTTGGATGATGTCTTGTACACCATTGCCTCCAACTCCCTTACATTGCCTGCACATTACACAACATCCAACATGTCAAAACTAATCCATACTATGTTGTTTCAGAGAATATTGTAAACATTTTCAAAGTTTTTACAATGTTTCGGGAAATCTTAATGAATGAATAAAGTGCTTTATTTTTAAAATAAACGTTCTTCACATAACATTAACATACTTACTTAACTAAACAATGGTCTGATTGGTTGGCATACCTGAATGTTAAAAACATCAAACACATTCCTGAAAATAAAATTAAAACAAAATACACTTAATTCCTAGAATAGGACTATACAAATAAAATTCTCAACTACATCCATATCATACAAAAAAAGAAAAAAAGTTTACATAACATGTATTTTATTTATCTTACTTTTAAAATTATTGGGGTTTAAGGTTCATGCATAAATAAATTCTATGAAAATTACTATGAACATAGAAGACAGGATGACAAGATTTTAATGAAATAATTATTGTTGGCTATAATTATGAATTTTGAAAGAAAATTAAACAATTTTGAATTTTGGAAAAAAAAAACTTTCTTCCACTTGATTTACTTGTAGTTAATTTCTCTAATTAATTCCCACCTCCTTCTCCACGCCTCTCCCATAAAGTTTGCTAATTTATCAATTACCAATCCAATTACCAATAACTACCATTAATGTATTCTATGTGTTCTTCCCTATTCATGCTTCGTTTTCCAAACCAAAACTCCCTGATATCACCTAAAATTGGGCAAATAGAAACAAAATGAAAAACTTTCAATTGTGCGCAAATTGCACGAACTAAAAAAAAAAAATTATCCCTTATTTGTGGTACAAATTAACAAGCTCTGCTTGGGCCTAGGTCAAGGTCGACGTCAAATAGTTGTTGGTGATTTTGTGATGTATGCACTCTGCAAACCATATTAATTCTCCAGCTATCTCTTTCATCGCTCATATCTCGTGAACTAGACACGATAGAAACAAGCTCTAAACGGCGTTGTATTACCAACTTCATCTGCCTTAAAAATATTACAAGGATAAATCCTGTATTTGTGATATTAATTGAGTTATTTATCATTTAGTTTTAAAATGTGTTTAAAACTCCAAATAACGTTAAAATATCCATGAAACCCCCTTTAAACATCAAACAGTACAGTTTGTCATCGTGAATTGTATGTTTAACACACTAAAGTCACTTTATATGGTAATTCTATTGAAATATTACAAGGTTATGCGAGGTTTCCGATGAAGCAGCACGGTGATGAGGGTGACGCCGCTGAGCGGCAGAAACCAACGTGTAGTACAGACTTGTAAAAATTGGGTATATACTGAAAGTGTAACACATTTTGACTTTTGATTGTTGTTGAGGGCATGTTGGAGATGACAAAACCCGATGTTGGTGCCCTCCCAGCCGGTGCAATACTTGGGGGGAGGGGGGGAAGTAGCGCTGAGAAGCGTTCTAGATCATCGCTCATATCTCGTGAACTAGACACGATAGAAACATATTTTGAACGACATTGTATTACAAATCCCATCCGCTTTAAAAAACTTACCACGGAAAATCCCATATCAATGATAATTATTTAGTTATTTAACATTTTATTTGAAATTACTAATTTAGTATCAAAATATCGTTAATCTACCTATACATAACTCCCCATATGTACTTACTTTTTCATTTGATCGTGACCCAACAACTAGTTCTCTTATTTTAATATAACATGAGTTCTTAAACAATGTAATACGTAACTATTAAATTCCATAGTAAAACATTTGTTCTGAGAAAAAGATAATTAGAATTTTTAACTTAAACCAAAGAGAACAAAATTTTAAGCTTATTGAACAATGAACACTGACAACACAAAATAATTGTCCAAACTAAAACACATCCGAACGGTACTTCATAAACTGTAACGTGAACTATTTTCTGAGTTCGTATGTAGGGTAGATTTTTCAAATCTCACATCGACATTACGCTTAATTGAAAACCTCAAATTTGGATATAATTACCAAATAAAGTGATTTGGGTATATTAAACATACAATGCACGCCAAACACAGAACTATTCATTGTTTTAAGGGAGCTTTATATAGGTAAATTAACGGTATTTTGATATTAAATTAGTAATTTATAATAAAATGTTAAATAGCTTTATTATTTATTATCATTGATATGGGATTTTTCATGGTAAAATTTTAAAAGCAGATGGTATTTGTAATACAATGCCATTCAAAACATGTTTCTATCATGTCTAGTTCACGAGATATGAGCGATGTTCTAGAACCCTCCTCAGCACTACTTCTCCCCCTCCCTCCCAAATTGTGCACCTGCTGGGAGGGCACCAACATCAGGTTTTGTCATCTCCAACATGCCCCCAACAAAAATCAAAAGTCAAAATGTGTTACACTTTCAGTATATACCCAATTTTTACAAGTCTGTACTACACGTTGATTTCTGCCGCTCAGCAGCGTCACCTGAATCACCGTGCTGCTTCATCGGAAACCTCACATAACCTTGTAATATTTCAATAGAATTACCATATAAAGTGACTTTAGTGTGTTGAACATACAATTCACGATGACAAACTGTCCTGTTTGTTGTTTAAAGGGTTTTTCATGGATATTTTAACGTTACTTGGAGTTTTAACACATATTTTAAAACTATATGAGCGATGTTCTAGAACGCGCCTCAGAGTACCTTCCCCCCCCCCCCCCCCAGTTGTGCACCTGCTAGCAGGGCGACAACATTGCTTTTTGTCATCTCCAAGATGCCCCTAATAACAATCAAAAGTCAAAAAGAGTTACACTTTCATGCATACTCAACCCCCTATAGATACTGGACTATAAGGCATTTCCACTCTTTGGCCCAAAAAATACCTTTTCCAATTACAACAATAATTTTTAGTAATCAAGATTCCAGAAAATTACAAACTTTAAAAAACTAAGTTGCGTTAATTTGTAGACTAAAGAAATACAATTTTTCACAACATGTTTCTAAGTAGACCAATATAGTTGGGAGTGTTATGTGGCTGATCTAAACATCCTTTTTATGTTTTCTGAGCATTTTCTAACTGAGAAATTTCTGAAAACCCCCAAACTTGTGTGCTGTAACACAAAACAGCTCTGAGAATAGATTCAAAACAAAATGTTTTAATTTGCAGCGGAACTTTGTTGTTGTTTACCAGCCTTTGCAATACTGAATTGATTGCATAATAAATAAGCCTCTTCTTCTCTATGAAAAGTTTTTGCCATGACATTTTCGTTGTAAATAACATTCCCAACTATTTGTATTTACCACTTCAAACGTTTTTGCCCTTATACCACCATCTATTGTGTCCCGGGTAATCTACTAGACTACTACCTTTCCTGAAGACCATTATATTTTTATTTCGACAGATTTACTGTACGGTTCCAGGTTTCACTGGAGCACTCCAAGTTTTTAATCATCATTTGTAAAGCGGTTGCTGTGGGGGCCAGCAATACAATGGTGTCTGCATACATCAAAACATTTACTCTCGTACCACCAAAATTACAGCCACCTTCCAGGACCTCTGGAAAATCGTTAATGAATAAGCTGTACAGGGGAAGACTTGCTATTTAACCCTGCCTTAGGCCAGTCTTTGTTTCAAACTCATTTGAAATACCGCCCTAACAACACACTGTTGCGAACGTGTTACAATAATCAAAACATCTAAAACATGCGTTGAGACGCCGATTGATGATAGTTTTAGTATAAGTGATCAATAGTAACAAACGCACTTGAAAAATTAAAAAAAATTCATACAACTTGCCACCTTTCTCTGTCAAACGTAGTTTGATCATCGATGCCAAATTATTAATATCTATAGTGGAATAGATTTGTCTGAAACCCACCTGGAACTCCGATAAGATGTGGTTTTCATTGACCCAATTTTGAAGTCTATTATTTAGCATTCCTATAAATATTTTACCAATACAATTTATAAAAGACAATCCTCAATAGTTTTGAACTAAATTATTATCACCCTTTTTAAACAATTGAAAAATTATCGATTTCTTAAAACTTTCTGGTATGACCTTATTCCAAAAAACGTCATTCATTATAAATACCAAGAAGTTTAGTCAAAAATAGGTCTGGGGCATTCTTAAAAAAACTCATAGGGAACCCTATCTAGGCTCAGCGCCTTATTATTGTTCAAACTAGACAAAACAACTTTTAATTGTAGAAGTTAAAGTCTCTATACAAATAATCATCGGCAATAAATGGTTCTGCAAACAAAATAGAGCTTTCTACTAGAGGATTAGGTAAAGTTTTAAAGTGTGTTACCCATTCTTCAGGTTTCATATTTTCTACTCAGTTTACGTTATTTTGACACTTAAAAGAGTTTATTACTCGCGAACACCTTTTGGAATAGATTTGAGATTCAGATTAAAATAGTGTATTCGTTCTCCTTTCCTGATCATAGCTGTTTATATTTCCTATGCTCCTCAACATACTTACAGTAGCCTTTATTTCAGTTGAATTGTTTTTTCTAAAAAGCTGTAACAATTTAAACACTCACTTTCTTGCGTAAACCAAGGTTGTTTACTAACGAAAGGTTTATTACTCTTCAAACTTAGCTTATAACGTGCAGAGTTAGTTATAATATTTATTACATCATTATATCATTAAAATTTTGCAGAGAAAATGATTTCATATTTTCCTCAACCTTGCTAGTAATTATTCAGAATTATAAGATTGTTCAGACAATCAAAATTTGTCCATTTTAACTTTGGCAACAATGGCAAGTTTTCCCTCTTCTATACCCCTGCCACGGCATATGATCTGATCCAGGAAAACAAACTACTTTTAAGTTGTGAATCCAATGTAAACAATTAAAAGTGACCGCCGCTATATCGATGTAGTAACACTTTGGCCCAGTAACATTTCGGCCAAACTCAAATTTCTTAGAAAAACAGTATCACTTCGTCCCACTCGCTTTTACAGATGATTAAATAAGCTAATGGAGTAACATTTCGGCCCGACGAAAAATTGACAAGGGTTGAGGAACGCAGTTCAGGTAGTAAGAGGTGCATGACCTGTATACTTTGCAACCACCCTCTGGTGGAATGTTGCCCAACCGTCACCCCTTGCATCCTCTGACCTCACATGACGGAGAATCGGTGGAATCTTACCTAACCTAACCTAACCTGTCAAATATTTTGTTGGGACGAAGTGTTACTAGTGGGCAGGTAGAGAGTTGGACCGTAGGCCACATCTGAGGGTTTCGGGCCGAAATGTTACTGGGCCGACGTGTTACTTGGGCCGAAGTGTTACGACACGGCTATATCTATGACTGAGTTCCCCTTATGTCCAACAAAAGCAAATTCCCCCTCTTTGTCCCCTATGGACCTTCCGTTTGAAACTACTGATCCTAAATTGTCACATAAATCTAAACTTTACGCCTATTTGCATTTTAAATGTTGTCTTTTGAATTTCTAATGTCCTCAATCCTATTATTCGAAATGATAATTTTAAAAAGATGTGTACAATGTTTTGGGAAATCTGATCCCGCCCTAAGGTAAAAAAGTGCTTAAAGCATGACAAAAATAGTACACAAATCCTGGAGACAAAAGCTGGAAAAGCAAAAATTGAAAATAGCTTGTTCCCTATACGGGAAATTTGCTATAGTGTTCTCACAAAAAAAAGCACGAACCTGTAAATAAAACAATGTAATAGAAATGAATAAAAATAACACAATTAACACAGTTAATTGAGACCCCCATGGATTGCTGATTTTTTAACTTAGGACGGTATCAGATTCCAGATCCCAAAAACATCTCCTACCCATAAAAATGTAAAACTACAATGTTTACATTTGCTTTGATCAGGGAATTAAAAGCCTACAAAGTCCAATAAACAATACCATTTTATAAAGGGTTAATCAATGAAAAAAAGTTTGGTGAGCTACATCTATATCCTACATTGGTTAGAATAACTTCTTTGTGTTTAAAGATCTATAAAACAGATTTTACTGAATTTACTCTAAATTACTTCACAAAACATCTCATGATGAATACGTTTCTTTTACAGTATTAAAACGTTTTTATTAGCTCGCTTTCTTGTCCGGTACAAATTTTGCAATCGATTTTAAACTAACTTCCCGATGAGCTAGAGACTTAAAACTAGAAACATACCTCACAAATAGATGACAATGCAATATTAAATCATTTTATTTTCATATTTCCCTTGAATTCCACGTTTTTAAACACACTAAAAAGTAGAAAATAATTTATAAATACGTGGGGAGAATAAATACTTGTAAGATTTCAAAAAAATATGTGGGGCGCATGCAATAGATAATAATAAAGAGGGGGTAGCTGTCGATAGGAAACAAATAAATTCACACAATACATCCTGTTTGTATGATTTACATCTAAATTTCTTAATTGAGGTTAAAATGGCTAAAAATTCAATAGGTGAAGAAAATTGTAAATTAGCTTTTGCATGAGCCCCACATTTTTCTTTTTAAATCTTACAAGTATATTCTCTCCACATATTTAATTATTTTCAACTTTTTAGTGCATTTAAAAACGTGGTATATAAAAAAAAAATTTTATTTTAAATAAATTATTTTTCATCACTCTATATTCTAAAATAGCCAATTTCCATACAGCTGAGATCTTCGAAAATCGGCAATTTCCATACACCAAAAACAAATAGTGATCAGCTGACTTCTTTCCTGACATAAACATGACTTTCGCTACATAAACATTACATTCGCTAGACAAAAATACTTTGCTTGACATCAACAAAGTAACAACTGAATTGAAATATTTATCAATTTTTATCTAGTTTTGGTAATTGTTATTTTTCTCTAAAAATGTTTACGCATGTTAACTAGGATTTGTAATACGTATGATCCAATATTTGTCAACGCATTTTTGGTACAATCCTGTTGATGTCATTTTTCATGTTAGCAATCTTTTTATTGTCTAGCGAGATGAATCTGAAACTGACTTATATATATTTATAAATATTTATCTTGTAACTTACCACTCATGTATTATTGATTGTAAAAATGGTGTTTACCGTATGAATAAATAAATAAACTGTTTACAAGTTTTTTAATTGTTTAAAGTTTGATTAAGTAGTTTTTTCATGGTGATGAAAAGTATCGTTCAATGCTCGTCACTAAAGTCCCATTTCGGGGCTCGATAGTGTTTCCCATGCTCGTCTTCGACTCACATTTCAAACACTATCTCGTCCCGAAATGGGTTACTCTTGTGACTAGTAGTGAAACTTATTAATACAATAGCCAATAGTCTATATCATAGTCTACAAAATATCTTGTATATCAAAGTTTGTAAGTTACTCACAAGCAACTTTGTCCCCATTAGAGTTCTGGGCCACCTCCATGTCATTGTAGTCTGGAAGGTGTGCGATAGTTTTCAGCTGGTGTATCTTGTCGATGCACAACTTGGGGTTGAAGTGGAAAAACAGACGACCTTTGCGAATCTGGAAGTCTTTGCCTTTAGTTTCCCAGTCCCACAACTCCATGAGGTTCTGATTGTCTAGTACTACCAGAGCATATCTGAGGGAAATTAAAAAATATAAAAATAGTTAGTTATATTTTTGTTGTAGCTTTTGTTTTAGTAAAAGTTGATAATATTCTATTCCCTAATGTATTCCTCACGATGCCACAAACCAAGGAAAATATGTCTGAGAATAGAGTAAGAACTGTACAAACAGAGGCTATTGCCTAAAAAAAAAACTAAACAACAACATGTTTCAACCAAGTTCTGTCATGCTTGAAATAAATAGACACTATTACACACCATTTAGACACATAATGGTCACAGGTAAAATAAGAGGGTCTCTATTTGATCTTGAAAAATAAATATTTTTCTGGCTTGTTTCAGCCAATGAAGTAAATTAGTGATAAAATCTAGAAAAACTCAAGGTTTAAAGGCTATGGTCAGTGACTTCATGCTTACTTCCCACTTTCCAAGGGTTCTCCATGAATCACTCTGAGTTTCTTGAGAAAGTTCAGTGACATGAGCGGAAAGGATCTCACAATCTTCAAGTAGCCCTGAATCTCTTCAATCATCTTCAAGTTTTCTTCCAACTCTTTGACCACGTTTACTAAAAATAACACATATGTTTTACTTTCTCGCATAATAAATCTTATTTTAAATTTCAAACTCCTGAATCCTGAAGTATGCATTATTATTATTGTTACGTTGTTGGTAAAGATGGCCTCTCATGGCCAGGGTTTTATAAGAATGAAGACTCTACTACTGAAGAAGGAGTTGATAGCTCAGAAAATTCTGTGTTTGTTTGCATTTTCTTCTATTTTCGTACGTAAGGTAACCCGCTGTTATTTTAAACCAGTGCATCACAAAATCTTCTATTTACTATTTGGTCTTTTACTCCTAGGGAAGCAACCAGGGCCGTATTTCCCTAATAGCAGATAAGGCGGCCTTGAGAGCCATGGCCTGAGAGGGTCCTCCTGAGTTATATTTTTTGCTTGGAAAATGAATTTTGCCAATACAATTTGTTATGGAGAATTATTTAAAAAAGTATGTGAGCTATTTGATTGTCCAGCCGAGCCTTAACTCTTGTGAGCAAAAATTATAATTTTGCCACGGTTATGAGAAACAATATTCATGTCTCCACAAAACCTGAAAGTGTTCTTGATTGAAGACATCGACAATGGAGGGGCCTCTCTGGAGTGAGCCACCGGGAGGCCACATGGATTCAAAATACGGCTCTGGAAGCAACCTAACAAAGATTTATGCAATGTAATGTTGCTGATGCAATTTCTTTTAAACTTTTATTTACAATATTTTGTTGACAGATGGGTTAAATTAATATTTCATGAATATACACTTGAAAAGATCAAGCCTAGGATACACTTTTCTAAAAGGTTTACTCTTCCCACTTTATAGATGCAATTAATTAGAATGAACCATCATCAACTTACTGCCGCCTCTGATTTGTATTTCCAAGGAGCCTTTAATGAACGTACAGTCTCGTAACTTCTGAGCCTTGGCTATACTGTCCACACTCGCCCCAGAACATTCCTTCTTGCAGTAGCCTGCGGAGAAATAAATTCATCTAATTATTTTATTTTTTTGTAAAGATGCCTTTAGGCCAGGGGATTTTAAGCATTTTGCAATGGATGGGTTCTTGTAGAACATCCTAAAATAAAGATTCTCCCACTAAAGAAAGAGCTAGTAGCTCCAAAGATTCTGATTTTATTTGTGCATTTTCATATTTTTTCATCAATACAATAAGGCTTTTGTTAAACCTATCCATTACAAAAGTCCATCTAAATTTTTGTTACCTGAATTCTGTAATTAATCACTTTTACGCGTTTTTTTCTGAATTAGGAGCATTTGTCTTCCGTGTTATCCTCATGGAAAATATTAATGTATAGTAAGGATGTAAACTAGAGCAAAAGGGCTTCATTAAAACATATTTATTATGGTGCAGACTTGCCTGAGAAGGAGAAAGATATTTTAAAGGAAAGCCAAGAGGCTGATAGAATTTTTTTGGAAAAGCGGGTAGAGGTCAGCTGATCTCTTCAAAATACTCTCTGAAGAAGTCCTAGCCGTTTTGTGACTTTGAGTATCTACTAGCCCCTGAACTCTAATATAACTTTATCTGGTGAGCTAGCTGACCTCCATCTCCTTGTCCAAGAAATATGAATGGGATAGAGTCCATTCTTGCACATAAACACAAACAACTTAACTAATATTGTAGTCATTCTATCTTTGGGTATGTGAGGATTTTTTTGTGTTTTTGTACCAAAGGAACTCCTCCCCAATCATGTGAGCCGGCTATCTGTAAAAATATGTATATGTCGATTGTTTATCTAAGCCTATATAACTTGAAAATTTCATTGCCAGCTTTTAGAAACTAACCAAATACTACTGTTCACCCAAAGCAGAAAACCATAAATACTTATTGAAATGTTTTATATCAGGTGCGAACCTGATGCAAGATTTTTCCTAGACCTCTAAGTAACCTAAGGGTAAAAACACAGTGGAGCAGGGCAGGTAGCTGTAGCCTGGCGGGTCGCTTACTCGCTTACTGCGATGTAGAATTAAAGCACGCGTTGTTATGGGTACGCACACAGTCGCGCCTAGCAGGTAGCCGACATGGTAGCAGTAAGCTAGGCGGCAAGCTAGAAGAATTGCCAAGTCGATTGTTTGGGAGCTTCAAGCGGGGAAGGCTCGACTGGGGCATGCGCAAATAGCAGAACTTGACAGCCACGTGTTCTCGAATTCGCAAGTTCCACGCGGGATCTTTCACTGCGCATTCTTTGTATACGGGGTGTTGTTTGTTTTAGTTAATTTATTTGGATGTTGTTTTTTTTTTACATGAAATAAAATAATGGACGTAGACAAATTAATATCAGAGGATATTATCCGTGTGCCATTGTGGAAACAAGCCCATCCGGACCACCACAAACGTCACGTACTCAACGATCTGTAGAATGAAATAGCGAATGAACTAGGATTCAAACAAAAGTTTATCCTGTACCACTAATATTATAAGTGATAATGTTAGTATCGGCGGCTGACAAGCGACTATACTGAGCGCCACTGTGTGTATGTCCCAGCTACCCTCCTGGTAACCAGCAGTAAGCGAGTAAGCGACCAGCCAGGCTACCAGCTACCTGCCCTGCTCCACTGTGTTTTTACCCTAAGACAGAGTCAATAAAGCAGTAAGACAATTTCTAAATTTGCAAGTTTGCTCCGGTGTATTTGATATTAACCAACCTTGACAAGGTTTACAGACGTATCTGCCGTGCTGTTCTTCTTCCTCTAGATATCCGGCGGGACATTGCAGGATACATTCCCTGTCAGGTATGAAGGGCTTCCAAGGATAATCAACCATATCAACAATATCCTGGCTGGTCTGACGAGGCTTTGGCATCCGATGGCATTCCTGCTCCGTCACACATCTGCGGTTCATGTACTGCAACAAAGCGACCAATCAGCAATTGCCATTGGAAATAGAAATGCAATTGTTATCAACAACAGATAACCGGAATCAGCACCACACAAACAATTACTGTCCAAGAGATACACAGATTTAGCGAGTGCAAGAGAACTGGTCTTATGGAACTCATAAATTAATTCAGTAATTCAGGGTCAATAAAAGTGTTGAGGCCAGTGGTAAAGTCTACCTGGCATAATCCTTTTCTCCCCAACAGAACCAGACCAGGTATTTCACTGGGAGGGGGTGGTCAAGTAAAGAGGGGAGAAAGAGAGAGAGAGAGGAGGGTGAAAATGACTGTGACATTGTCGTTTGTTTTTGGCACAACCAAACACTCAGTAACAGAACACACCTCAACGCCATACTTTGTAAACCACTTTTACATCTGGCATCTGTACAGTAGAACCTCTACACTATCAATACCTGTCAAACACAACAAAGTAATATATAAGACACAACAAGTTTGGTGGGCGGTGACATTGTTGTTGTTTTTGGCACAACCAAATACTCAGTAACAGAACACACCTCAACGTCATACTTTGTAAACCACTTTTAAACACTTGGCATCCGTACTAGTAGAACCTTCTTACATTTTAATGGGAATATATTTTCAAGTACATTTAAAAATAAACTATGAATTACTCAAAAAAGTCAAAACCTGATTGTTTGTGTCTTATTAATTTGTCTGTTGCTGATTCTGTATTGTTTACTGAAAAAAAGTAATATTTCTGTTTCTAGTTTAAATTTTCTGTTGGTGATAACGATTGTTTATCTTTTGCTGATTCCTAAACCCCCTTTCTCAAAAAACGTGGCTTGGTGAGTCGCTGATGAGCTTAATCAGCCGCTTTTTCAGTATCGGGTCATGTAACTTTTCTCTGAGTTCCCGTCTGAATTTGGTAAACTCATGAATCATCAAAGGCTTATGGATTTCCTAACCACTAGACTAAGCTGCATTATTGTCCTCATAGCCTGTGGATACTTTAAATCGAGCGCTTTAAGGGCATTTGGCCAGTTGTGTTGTTGAGTGTGGTTTAGTGTAGGAATTTAAACAGTGGAGTGGAATAATAATGATAAGAGTATTTTGACTTCTATGAAAGAACCTATAGTTTGGAATCCACTAGGGCCTACACAAAAACCATAATGACAGAAACAAAGAATACAATGCATAGAAATAAATTCAATCTTATTTCAGCAAAAATTCAAATCAATCTTCAATCTTCAATCTTCCCTAAAAGTTTTAACAAAAAAAGAAAAACCTAATGGCAACTTTAGGAAACTGTCTTTAAAAATTGTAAATTGACGCTACTACTATTCTTAATGAATGTGTAAATAAAGATTAATTGTCTATTGTCTATTGTCTTTTAATCTAAAAATGACTAGTACCATTGGAAGTGCTTCTCCACATAACTTAACATAAGTATGCTGCAACACAAGCCGATAATCCATCATCTTTATCACACACAACCTGGGTTCCTGTCGCACCCCACCCTCAATAAAATATCAATGCCTCCCTGGCTCTCCACCAAGTCTGTCAGCTACTTATCAAATCAACAGGCCGTTACACTCAGTGACACTTTGTAATGATCAGCTCACTCTAACTGTAATCACAGTAAACATCAGTTAGGTAATATGCTGTATGTTTACCTTGAACGTGTCCGGTGGGCATTCGTTGATACACTTGCCTTCATACAAGACTCCACGGCATGCGTAACAGTCCGACTCTGTAGGTCCGAAACATCCTCCAAGACAATTCTCATGACAGCAATGATTGGTGCTGTTACATGCATTGCCTCCAGTGCAGTTGCTGGGACATACTGTAACAACAGTCAGTTGGTAAGTTTACATTTATCATTTATCTATATAAATAAAATTAGAGTTTTGTCTGTACATTGCTCAGAATCATAAACTTTTAGGTTATTTTTACGTTTTATACATTAAAGAAACCGAAACAAGTCTCATCTAAATTTCTGTCTGTCTGTCTTCCTGTCTGTCACGGCCCATGAGACATTTTACGCGGACTTCACCTGAAAAACGAGAGTACCTATCAAGTTCCAAATCATTTTAATGTATTCACTGGATTGGCGAGATTGTCTTTAGCAATTAAAATATGGCGTCACTACTTTGTAAATAAAATGACGGACGTTTAAAAACTCAATTTTGTGCGATTTTTTGTAAAGTTTTCCCAATGTTTATCACATATTCATCTATGAAATAACGAACAGCTGTTCGAATCAAGATTATTTCTTCTAGCTGTCACTGATGTGTTTACATGGAATGTTGTTTACAAATACCGCAACCATTTCCGATCAAGTTTTGAAAGCAAATCCAAACCAAGTAAGATTAAAAACGTTTTTCCTTACATAACGGATTTAATTAATCGCAAGTGCAATAATTTGTAGGGCATCCGTAAATGAAAATAGAGATTCTTTGTTTTTTAAATTGTTCTTGAGTTTTGATAACCGGGAAAAAGACCTTGAATCAGTGTTGTATATGGCTGGGAAACTTATCTACATTTTTTTAATGAGCGTTTTCAGTCAAGACTCGGCACACGACCGACGCGCGTCTACATGTCCATAGTAAAAATAAAAGTAGGCATACCGTGTATTTGTGTTTTATTCGTCATGTGTATAAGTGTACAGTTCGTGTATGTGTTTCAAAAACTCCAAGACGCACCTAATGGGGAAGCTCAAGACCTTATACAGTAGACCCCCTCTTAACCGACCCTAATGGGACCGGACCTAGGTCGGATAACTCAAAAGGTCGGATAAAACGGGCAATCCCTAAAATCATAACATAATGAAGTGCTATTCATTTGGAATTATATAATCATTATTTTGAAGTCATACTTGCATTATTTATAAAATAAACTACTCTTATCTCCTTTTTCATATTGATAGAAAAGTCACAAATAAACACAAAACACAGTTAAGTCAAATAGGCCTACTTTCAGTGCATTATAATACTAGGCAAGAGTCAATAAAATTCCTATTTTAATAACTTTAATACTGTAATGTATTAATTGATGCTTTCCAAATACATCGTATTACAGTACACAACCTTTTGTCGACATTAAAGAGACAAGCGACCATTTTGTTACAAAACAGGACGTTTATGTATAGCCTCTTACTGGAGGCTCCAGGCACAAAAACTATCTTGACCTTGGAGTTGTTAACCCCCTTTCCCTTCCTTCCTTACAAGTTGCGTTGTTTGTTTACTCCTGCGATAAGATAATCAGTTCTCAAAATCGTAACGCACTTTATGATGTTATAAATTTGCCGCACAGATAACAAATCAGATCAGATGTGCTCGAGCTACGAACGATGATGACAAACTGACAATAGGCTATGCTATATTTTTTGTGCTCAACACAAAATAACTGATTCTTAGTCATATCCTGTGGAGATAAGCGTATGGTTCAGTTCTCATCGCCCAGCGTGGGAGCGGAAATGACGAGATTCCTAGAAAGCGGCGGTTAAACCGAGCTGCTCTCAAATCAAGGTCGGTTAAAACAAACTGTATTATTTTACGATCGAAGGCGGATAATCCGATTATCGGTTAATACGAGGTCGGTTAAGAGGGGGTCTACTGTATTAGGACTGATGATGGCGATGTAATTTTGCTGAAATGCATCTCCTGTAATAGGATACATTAGGATCGACCGGCGGACACAGGTTTTTATTGATTGTCATACCGACCCGGAACAACAACAAACAACATAAAATGAAGTTGTGTATAATAGTTTGGCCAGCATATCTGAAAATATGCAAACCCACTGCTGTTTTTATATATGAAGGTTTCAACTGAATACTAAAAGATCCCCGTGCGTAGAACGGGTACACAGCTAGTATATTATTAAAATCTGTAATGGAATTACTTTTTTGATGGATAGAGTCTCAATTACTACAAGATCGTGCCACTCATCCTACCCTCATCTTAGTATTAAAGTACTATAAGTGTTTGAAAAGGGCAAGAAAGTTTTTTTAGACGCTTTAAAGTAAATTTTATACAAGGACAATAAAAACCATAACATGATTGTATAAATAAAAAATTTAGTTAATATTGCCTGTATAGATTTAAATATAAGCAGTTAAGCAAGGTAAATTTACTGCCTGACTTAAGTAAGCAATTTTTTTAATTTACATTAAACATTCAATTTTGACAAGAACTAATGCTATTTCAAAGTTCTTACTTCCAATATAACCTGGCAAGTAACAATTCAATGGTATTTATAAAAACTAAAATGTAAACATGTCATATTCATAATCATATTCAAACATATTTATTCATCAAAACTCATGTACTTTGCATTAGTGGTACAGTGAATAGTGTCAAAATGCATAAATAAAAATACTATTTCCATTTTTGTGTTCTGTGTTTCTTCTATTTAATTTTTAATTTCCTTCCGCCTATCAACACTCATAATATTTTAAAAAAAGAGCTTGTTCATGAAATTTACTTTTGATGTTTTATTACTTTTATATTAAGTAATATTTTATAACCATACAAAACTAAAGTGTCCGAGTGTCCCTACAGTTTACCCATCAGCATTATACCCAATCACTTTAATTTCTAGACTTAACTGTTCAAAGGGTTTCAGGTTAAAATCTCATTTGTTATGAACTAATTTAGGTGATTCCCCTTGTGAAAATCTAAGCTGATATTAGGGCAACTGGCAACTTAATTATCTATCTATCTATCTATACTATTATAAAAAAGAGGTGGTGTCTGTGTGTGTGTATGGGAAAAGTAAACGCGAAAACTACTGGTCGGATCGGGCTGAAATTTGGCATGATGATAGCTCACATTCCCGATTAACATATAGGCATATTTTTATCCCAAAAATCCTTTCGGGCTCCTCCCCAGTGGCTCTGGAGTTTCCCATGTTAACCTTATGAGAAATGAAATTATTGAATCTTAACAGCTGTTTCAATTAAACAAGTTGGTTCTGTTCTGTGATGTTCAATAGCATTAAAGTTACAAGGATTACCAACAGGGTGCAGCACTAGCACTAGCACTATTATTTCTTTTACATTTATGACAACAGCAAAAGGTGAGTGAGCGTAGCGAACGAACTTCAACCTGGAGGCGAGTGAGCGTAGCGAACGAGCTAACCTGAAGGCAAGTGAGCGTAGCGAACGAGCTAACCTGAAGGAAAGTGAGCGCAGCGAACGAGCTCCAACCTAAAAATGAGTGAGCGTAGCGAACGAACTTCAAAAAGAACCGAAATTTCTTAAACCATGTCCTCACTCATAACTGCTATAAGCATTTGATACTTATATGCCAACCCCGTACAAAGGACGGGTACTCTGCTAGTTATATATATTTCTTTCATTAATTTTTTGATATCTTGTGGAATAATCTTATACAGAATCTTTTGTTTTCTATTCATGTTCATGTTTGTAAGACTCGTTACCTTTCTGACACCTGCTAGGACTCCAACAAAGATGTTCCTGGGATCCAACCATCTGCATGCATTCCTTCGGACAGATTGGACACTCGTTTTTCTTCTTGTTACTCTGAAAGAAAAGAAAAAGAACTGTCTTGTGCACTTGGAAACTCAAAAAAGGTATAAGTATTTTTTTTAGATCCTACATCACAATACAAATAAATAAAATATAGGCTAGCATGAATAGTCATAGAATTTAATCAACTTGAAAGTGCAACTTTTAAATAGGCCTATATCAAATAGTTACTGTAAAGAAAAAAAGAAAAAAACATATCAACAGCTTACTCTGTTTTGATATTTCTTTCAAGCAAAAATTACACTTGTGGGGGAGCAGTTATTTGCTTTGACTATTTTTTTCAAATCTTTGCCTATTATTTTGATTTATTATACAACTTACCAACTCCAGAAAAAAAACTATAGCACAATTACTTAATCTTAACTTAGGATTCAAGTATGTTTCAATATTGTACAACAATTAACAGCACATCATTTCACAACAATTTTGATTTAATATACTGTACCAGTACCTACTTGAAATTTGGTTTAATTGGGAGATTGGTGTTGTTGCATCAGGGGGTAGTTATTTCCAAAGATGCAATGCTACTATACATTCAGAACGTAAGCCAATATTTTTGCCTGTTAACCCTTAGAGTGCCAGGCGAAAAATAAAAGTAACGCTCAAAAAATGCCGATGATTTTTCCCGAAGGTCGCGCTAAAAATGCCGAGCGCGATCTGGCGATTTTTAGGTTAAAATTTTGTAAAAATCGAATTTTCGATATTTCGACCAACGAAAATCGATGTATTGCATCTAATAACTTTCGACTCAATGTTAATATATGGGTTAAAAGAATCCGAGTATCCATTCGGTTGTTATGACAACTGTTCGATCATTACGAAACGTCCGGTCAGCCGGACGTTGGCACTTTTGGCTCGTTCTAAAAACGTCCGGTCGGCCGGACGTCGGCACTTTTGGCTCGTTTTAAAAACGTCCGGTTCCCCGGACGTTGGCACTCAAAGGGTTAATTTCAACAAGACTAAGATTTTACAGCCTATTTTGCCCATAGAAACCAATGTTTTAATTAATTGGTGTTCATTACATTTAAAATCCTCTTGTCTATATTTTCATTCTATATTGTTTTATAGTCTTGAATCAGATTTTTTACAATACATAAACAAAAAACGTATCCCGCTAAACCTCCTTCAGATCTTCCATTTAAAACTCCTCTTTTCTGTTAAACCAATTGTGTAGATATGAAACGAAACACTATGATCTATCTTACCCTTATAAAGTGTATTTCCTCCTTTTTAGCGTCCGGTCCTTTTGGAGCTTGTTTCGCGATGAGGTCCCAGTCTATGGTGTCAATATAGCAGAGCATTGGATTCTTGACAAAGTAAACTCCACCTCGCATGATGTCAGTTAGAGATGATAAGCCCAGCTCCTGCAAAACACAAGTAATTATGTAGACTAGTTAGCTTAATCCGTAGGAATAGACGCAGAGTCCCAAATGTTCCCTGCTAGCCCCTAAGACTGATTACTGGCCATCAGGAGTAATATAACCAAAGCTTAACTCATTGGCATTGATTAGGGGACATTAACTCATTGGCATTGATTAGGGGACATTAACTCATTGGCATTGATTAGGGGGCATTAACTCATTGGCATTGATTGGGGGGCATTAACTCATTGACATTGATTAGGGAACATTAACTCATTGGCATTGATTACGGGACATTAACTCATTAGCAGTGATTAGGGAACATGGTGAGCCGGTTGTCACCACCTCCCCCAATCATAAGGAATATTTTGATAAATAAAATTAATGTTATGTTTATGTATGGAATTAACCTCATGTCTTTCAGATGAGTTTTGTCCCCCTACATCTAGCTTTAAGTTACTATACAAGTATTGTTAGTGTAATACAACATTAGGTCTGAAGTAAGGCATTGTCTCCACTGTCAGAAAATATCGGTTCAGAATGAGAGGGACTGCTGAGAAAAATATGAGTAAGAAACTTAGACACAGTTTTCAGTTGGTCACAAATTGAACCGTATAAATGTACCATTATGTGTACATAATGTAAAGTCCTTGTTGAATATCAATAACCAACTAAAAATTACCAATTTATTTAAGGTATGGACACTATTAGCTGTGTTTGAAAACAAATATGAGCAAATTGTGAGTGTAGAATTATTATCATTATCAATTGAGCTGGGGACACCACCAAGGTGTGTATTTTAATCCAAATATGAGTAAAGAATGGATAAGAAGAGATGATCTGTGTAGCTTTGTTACTGACTAAGATCAGCTGTTTCATTAGCCAGGATAATTTATGGAAAGTCCAATAGCTTTGTCCACGCAAGTGTGTTTTTGTATGCGCCAAGCACATGAATCTTAGCGCATGCCTTGACACTGATGGACGCAAGTAACACATACGTCAAGGCATACCCGAAATGAGTCCAATGAAGCTCCATTTTATAGCGCAGAGTGTCTAGCGCAAGACAAATAACTGGCTTTGGATTTCTGTGCCTTTCAACAAGCAACTGCTTTACATATTTTCCAAGTCGTCCATGTTGTAGTTGTTTGAAGCAAAATGTATATCAAACAAACCTCAGAATTCATAGAAGATTATCACTCGCATGTATGTTTGTGGGACATAATATGTGGTAGTAAATAAAAAAATAAAATAAATTTGAATAAAATAAAATAAATTTAAAATAAATTTAAAATACATATACTGTATATTTGAATAAGGCCTAAATAAAATAAATTAAAAATAAATCAAATTAAACAAGACAATTACTTGTTTTATAGCACTCCTTCACAAATTTAGTAGGCTACGCCTTGATTTCCTACGTTTGTGAAATTTTCTTGACACTAAATATACCGTGCCAATTCCTCAGTCCTATCAAAATAGCTTTGTCTTCATCCAACTAGGAAAAGCTATCTAAAAAGTGAAGAAAGTGAGGCATGAGTGTGGACAGCTAAAAGCTATGCCTCAAAGCGCTTGCAATACTGCATTCGTTAATGCATGTAGAATTGAAAGCTGAAAGGTAGGTTGAAATTGAAAGCGCACGAGTGTGGACATAGCTACTGATCAGGGTCAGCTGGGTCCAGATTCTAACTGTCAAAAAGCTACTGACTTTTCTAAATATCAATTCAGCAACCTTTGATTGTTAAGCGAGCACTATAACTACTCAGTTACCCAGAATAGAGCAAGATGTCATGTCTAGCTTTGTCTCTGACTAAAATCTGTTGTTTCTTTGGCCAGAATAATTATTAAAAGCACTATACTGACTCAGCAGCTTGAGTTACTTCTTAAACGCACAACCGCCAATAGCAAAACTTCTTCATGCACAATGGGCAAAGCAAACCTATCAAGAGACCTAGTCTAACCTACATCTAAACAGAACCTCAAGACAGTTTACCTGAAGATGTAGCATTTCGAAGGCGACCAGTGCATAGTCAAAGAACAACTCGTTGCCTCTTATTACTGACAGGTTGGGGAACAGTTTACCAAGTGATCGCAGCCCGTTGACCCGATACAACAAGATGTAGCCAGTCACCTCCCTCAGCTCTGGGAAAGATAGGTTCTCATACTCGTTGGGGTCCGCCTGGAAAAAATAATATATACAATATAACAAATTATGAGGATATAGTCTAAATCCTTGTCTTAATACTATCTAACAATGATGTTTTATTAGAAAGCATTATTTATTTATAGCCCTCAAATGTATTTATCACAAATTATACCTGAGGCCACAATCACTTTTGCTCGGGATTGAACCAACAAATTTAAAATTTGAAGGGAAGCACTACAACCACTCAGCTACCCAGATAATTTGGCCTCGAAGCTGATTTTGACAGATCAAAATTATAGTTTAGGCTACAAAGCTTAGTTTTATTATTTTTTTAATATCCAAAGGACAACTGCATTTTTAGAGGTCTAAGTTCAATCATCAGGCTGAATTTGAGATAATATGTATAAAATACTTTCTTGAATACAAATGGAAACCTTATTGTTCTGTGAACATATAAAGTTGAAGTAAAAAACTACAACTCCATTAAAAACCATAAGGCTCAGAGGAAATAAGTTACAAGAGGCTATTACAAGATCCAAACCCCTATTTCATTTATAATCCGTTAGAACTCCGGGTTGTGCAATCAAATAGATTTTCTCCAAACCAGTAGATTTGACAAAACCTGGCAATTGGTGTGGTGTTGTAGGTTGGTTATGGATGGGGGTTTATATTATGAACATAATAGAGAACATAATATGAACTTGTAACCTGGTTTTTTACTGAAATTGACTCCTTTCACAGGGAAGCAAGATATAGAGGATACATTCAATGGTACACGTAAGTGGTGTCTATCACCAGTGGCTGGTGTCTAGAACAAATATTCTATTCATCGTCCCCTTCCACTCTTCTTTCCCCTTTACCACATCTCGTACTACAACGCTTACGCTGGAAGACCTTGTGAGCTCTTAAAAAATGCTATGTGGCCATCCCCGTTCATGCTCTTCTTTGCCCTGTACGAAAAATGTCTGCGCCACCATATCGTATACTCTGTATCTTGCTTCACTGTGCTCCTTGTTTATTCTTGTTCAATTAGTGATAATTTTCCCTTTGTCAAATGTATTCTTGTTTATTTTGTTTCACATAAGTTACGACAAAAGAATCGGACAGTTTTGCTGAGGCCCAAACAAGTCCTCTGAATGGCAAGTATTACACAAGATCTGCAATTTAACCTATTAAAACTTTATTGTAGCCTAATCATCTGTTCAACTCACCTTGTCTATTAGCACAATTTGCAGAAATCCTTCGATAACTCTGCATCCTATCAGCTGGTTGAACTGATCAACTGAATTCCGGATATCTCTACTCTGGCACACTGAAACATACGACAAACTTGTGTTACAGAAGTAGGAAACATACAAAGCTCTCTAGCTCTAGGTTACAAATATACATGTACAACAAATAGTTGTAACATATCTGACCATCATAAAAAACAAAGCCTAAATATCTGTGAAGAAAGCCACATATACAGTACGCTGAAAGGTTAGAAACACCTCAAACAGAATTAGACTACTTAGTCCAAATAAGTAATCTAAAGAATTTGCAGTGGTACAAATTACAGTACAAAATAGGGTTAACATAATGCTATATATTGGGTTCATAAATCAACTGATTTCAATAATATGGATAAAAATAAAATTTCTTGTTTCTCTAAATATTTAAATAGAGTAGTTGACAAGTAGAAGTTTTCTGGACCATAAAATGTGTTTTTATTGAGAAGAATTTAGGGTTTAGAAGCATGGATGATAGCAAAAGTTAATGGTATTTGGGAGGCTGAGAGAGTAGCGTTTTTTGATAATCGCATTGTTAATGCTGACGCTCCCTCTTACGCCAACCAAGAATGGGGAACAATATCTCGAAACCATGCCGTTCAGAAACACAATAAATATGACAAAGCAGCCGAGGACATCAGAGGAAGCTTCATACCATTAATATGTTCCACAGAAGGAGTCCCCCACAAAGAATATGAAGCGTTTCAGAGGAGAACAAGCAAAGCCCTGGCTGTAAAATGGAGAAAACCATACTCCCAAATTATCGGATGGTTGAGGATCCAAAGCCAGCTTTCCATCATTCGAGCAGTTTCGCTTAGGCTACGGGGAACTAGACAAAAATTCGAAGCATTCAGTTTGAAGATAGTGCCGCAATTCCTCCATTGCTCTATTGAGCTTTCATTTTATTTTTTTAAACATTTATATTTGATTGAAAATCATATTTTGTCATTTAATAAAAAAAAATTAATTTTAATTAATTTGGATGATAGCAAAACATTGTCTTCTAGCACAAACATAATTTTATTGAAACTTACTATATTCAGTGGTGTAATACACTAAAACCTCTGCTTTATTCATTTCTATCACCTATTTTACCCTTCAAAACAAATTATTTTGACATCAGTCTACAGACATGAAAACAATTCGATTTTTTGTTGACTCTTGCATATCAATGAAGGTATAACTGGAAATTGTTGATACCACAAATTATTTTTAAACTCCTTGAAAACACCTCTTTAGCAAAAAATATATATGACTCGGTTCATAACATGGTTATCAAAACATTTGTTTATTAACTCCACATACAGTGTTACTGAAAAGTCCTGGAACCGTGTAATGGATTTCTTACCAAAGCAATGAGACTTAGTATATCAATAATAACCGTAAGTGTCTATTCTTTTAGTCTATTATCACTTTTTTATCCCTTAAGGGGGACAGCCCACGAGGAGTCAGTCAAAATTCTTAAATAGCAGCATAGGTCAAGTTTCGTATCAAATTAAAAGTCTTAGTTGGTACAGTAGAACACATTGCCACAAACCCAATCAAGCGAGTCAAAAAAGGCAGCCATTAAAATATTGTTTGAATCTTCCATTTTTAATCTTTGGAAGGCTGCCATTTTTTACTCAGTTGCATTATGAAAGAGACCAATGAGCACAACTGTTTTTCTCCACTAACTGATAAATACGGTACCGGTACCAAACAACTTGAAAAAAACAAATACACACAGTGATAATATGACAGGCAAACAAATATTTTAACAATGAAATCATTAGTTCTGTATAAAAACCTTTAACTTGATCAACTGTCAACTAATCATTAACTTGATGACATGAGCAGTATTTGTGCTGGGGAAGAAGTACATGACCTTGATCTTGAAGAGTAAGTTGTTTGATAGCACCTGACAGTGTTTTATTGTGAGTTATCAATTGAGTTATCTTTAAGATGGGAACTATCTGGTGATAAAATGTTTAAGCAAATAAATGTTGTGGAAAAATAACCTTGCTCTTTCTACCCCTAGGAGTGCAAAACAGAAAGAGGTGAAGGCCAGTAGAGAAATAGTTCTTAAAACTTGTGAGAAACACAATACACAAGCTTATAAAATAAATTAAGTTATTTAAGTTTAAGTTTAAGTTATTTAAGTTATTTATATTGTTGTTTAAATAAAGTAATATTATATAAGCTTATAAAATAAATAAATAGTCAAGTTTGTTCTCCTACAGTCACCTAACAATGTACATGTTCTCTCACTGATTTTAGAAAGCAAAGTGGCCAATTCGCTCATCAGTGAGACAATGTTAACATTGTCTCACTCTAATTACTTTGTCTCACTCACTCCAGATTTGCAACGTGAAGGCACGAAATAGAGGTAAATGCAGACAAGGTCGTATCATGTCGTATGCACACGAAATACGATGGCAGAACTGGCTGTGAATCAGCTGGTCAGCTGTTGTACTGTTGTTCATTAAATGTAATATTAAAAGTTCACTTCTGTGTAAAAATATGTCACGTTTCTTTACCAATTTATTTGTTCTATGGTAACTGTAGGAACAAAATAATGTGCAACTCGAGTGCAAAGTCCCAAACTCCCTTTGCTCACTAGTTGCACAAATAACTATTATACCGGGAAAATAATGGTGATTGAAAAACAAATAATTATGTTTTGTAAGCGTTTTAGTTAATGGAAAGCTTCAATATACAGTAAATTCTTCTTAGTTAAGAATTGGTGATTTTTAACCTACCTATTATCTATAAGGAGCTGAATGTCAATAGTTTAAAAGTACCAAAGCACCTAGTTGAATGTTTATCAAGCAGAAACGCTTGTGTATGTATCACACGTTTAGTAAACTAGGATTTGAGAAGGGTAATAATTGTTATATAAAGGGGTAAGGAATAAGTTTCAAATTGGTGTTAAGTAAGTGATTTTCAAAGCTTGCATAAAAAATGTGTCTCCCATATAGATCAGTTGACAATATAAAGATAAGTTTCCATCCAGTATATGTAGGCAAAAGGTACATTTTAATGTACTTTTTTATACCACAACTTTCAAAGTAACAAAACAAAACTATCTATTCTATAAACCAAGCCCATCAATATGGGCAGGCAAATTTGGAATAAAAAGTGGCCACTAACGTCTTAAAATAAAGTAAACAGGCGTCAGATATTAGCCTTCATTACGACATCCGCAATATGTATACGAGTATTCAGTGTATTGGGCCGCACAATGCATGTAGAGCAGGGGCAGGACAAGGACATCGGCAGTCTAGACCTGCGGCTCGCCATAATATCCGGCTGTGACGTCACAACGAGTACGTCATAGGTCAAACAATGCGGTGACCCTCTACCCTCACCAGCAGTTGCCCAGTTGCACCGATGGTCAGGGGTGGACCTAAGGGCCCTTTCACACGAGGCCACTGGTGGCGGCCACCGGTGTCCGCCACCAGTTACCGGCCGGGAAACTGCAGTGGATGGTACAGGCAACTTACAAGCCACTCTACTACAGCCACTGTACTGGTAGAAATGCTGTACATGCTGTCGAACAATTAACATCTCCTTCTTCTCGCGTTGATAATAAAGAAAATAAGGCAAAGACACAGGCGTACTATACCGAATAGCCGGTTACTTTTCAATTTCGCAAATTAGATCATCAGTATCCACTTTGTTTTCTATTATTTTGTTTATTCTCTTCTTCTGTTGTTTTCCTTTGTCTTTTTCTTTTTCAGCAACGTCCTCTTTATTTTTCTTCTGATCACTCATTTTCACAAACAAACAATTCAACACGAAAACACTCAACAACTACAACCATAGTGCGTTTGTCTTTGCAGTCTGCACGTGAACTGATTCAAAATAGCTGCGTGCTCATCCACTGGTGGCGGCCACTGGTTGCTACGTGTGAAAGCTCCCATTTAATTCAATGCCCCGCGACGAGTTGCCGCCACTGCAGTTGCCGGCGGTGGCCGACTAGCAGTTGCGCGAGAAGACACTGCTCGGCCACTGTGTAGTGGCGGGCAACTACGGTGGCTGTGTGTGAAAGGTCCCATTTAAAATAATGTTAAAGCTGTGGCGGGCAACCAGTGGCGGCCACCGGTGGCGGCCACCAGTGGCCTCGTGTGAAAGGGCCCTAATCTCGAATGCCCAGTTGCACCGATGGTCATTTTAGGGTGATGTCCAGTTGCGCCAGCGGTCAAAGACCCCAGACGCCCTCCCCTCCCATTGAAATGTTGTTAAACGTAGTTAGTACGGTAAACGGTTAGGTTAAGTTAGTTTAGGTTAGGTTCACAAAAAATACAATTCAGTTAATATATTTCAAGACAAAGAGATCAACGTTTTATGGCAAAATTATATGATAGAGTGTGTTGATATCAGTATAAGTCTTTGTAACGTTTGTTTGTTACTCTTTACCCCGTAGCAAAGAAAGGGTTAGCTGCTAGTTCCCTATGTATGGTAAATATTTAGCGCGCAGACTATACGTAAAAGCTAGACCATGGAACGTAAAAGAGCGTAGGTATGAAAGCGTTCGAGGAGGGGAATGAGCATCCAAGCTTGACAGATTGTTGACCGCCGGTGCAACTGGGCACTCTTGGGAGGGAGGACTTTGTCGACCCTTGCAAATTCCTTTGACCATCGGTGCAACTGGGCATCAACCATCTATAGACATACCACGAACAAAACGACTTGCGCAGAAACGAAAAGATCACGTGGTTCGTGCCGGTAGGTGTGGCGTACCATTCAAACCTGCGCAGCTCGAAACGGCCCAGGGTTCTTTTGTTTCTGGTATTACTATGACCCGCTATCACAACGGCGGAGACATTGAGGAGTCGGTCAGTGAAATACAAAAATATTGAGTAGGCCTAATTTCAAAAAAAAAATTGAGTTGAAGCAAAACAAGTTGTATTGAAACGCAATAGGTACTAACAATTTTTAGAACTCAACGAGTGAATAGAAACAAATAGTAAAAATACTGTACATCCTGCTAATATTATAAGTGAGAAAGTTTGGATGTATGGATGGATGGATGGGTGTTTGTGACAAGTAAACGCGAAAAAAA